GCCTAGACAGGAGAACAATTAGGGTTATCAACCAAAGCCTTTGGTTCAAAACTTGACCGTAAGGCAGCGGGGTTTTGATACTGGGCCACAAAGAGTCCGTTTTATGTACTAAATAGCCACCCTTACCCCAACGTGGACGGCCAGGAGACAGAGTTTGTCGGGCCTCTAACCACTGCTCAATCTGGTATGCGTGGTTGTGAAGGTGCAGAAAGCACCACCCAGCATAGCTCAATGGATCACTGCAGCACATAAAACGTCGCACCGCGTTAAGGTCCAATCTCGTGATGGATGCTGTTTCTTATCTGGTGCATTTCATTGCGTTGCCTTGTGTTTTACTTCTAAGGTCTATAACCAAATGTATTCTCCTTCATTGTTATTTCCCCAAGACTGTTTCAAAGAGATCATGTTCTTCTTGTCCGTTCGTTGAAATTTTTTTCTCCCTTCTCTGGTTTAGGGACAGAGACGCCCATAGATTTCATTGTTAAAAATCATTCTGCTGCATACATCAACTTTCCATCCGATTTCAAATAATTGCTCCCACCCTTTACATGCTATCTTATTTACTCCGTCTACATGGTCACAGTTTAATGTTCTCGTACCTCTTCATATCGAAACTCTATCCTGCCTTTTTCTATCACGCTTATTAATCGACTCAACAGGACTGAAACGCCGCTTTTGTGACCATATTCTTGATTGAATATGCAGCTTTACTGCTTTCAGACATTTCTTATCATCGATACTTTGTTGTATTATATTCCGCAGTGTTGTTATGAAAATGCACCTATACGGGTGGATAAAGCCTGATTTGACTTAACTTGATTTCCCCGGTTACGAGATGGGTTGAACCAATATTTGTAGCTGATAGGCGTTGGCGTAATGCAGTAGTTGCAGGTCGTATCTGAGGCTATAAAGTAAGGTTACTGAATAACATCATCCGACGTTATCGAAAACAGCTAGGAAGTCAACGTGGTGGATAAGCTCTGGATAGTAAGCAGCAGCAAAGCGCGCTGACTGCTACTGCAGCCCAAATCCGAAATCCGAAACAGCAGTGGAAAATGGAGACGGTCGCCATCCGTGGTAATCATCGAAAGTTATTCCGCTTGATAGTATAAACGGGCAGCACAAAAACCGGTATTTGGGGAACGATGTGCGATGAGAGTAGACGTTCCATCTACAACTTGTTACAACACTTTAGTTGAACACTGAAAAGCAATTTCATCGATCGGAACAACCAGATTTGCTGTCTGCCAGTGATCACCCTGCTTCCTGCGTCGTCCCTGTAAGTCCGTCTATCGCACAAATGTTGGACTTTTGAATTTGAATTCAGCCGCAGGGTTAGATAGACTTCCTCATGTCTTTTTCGAATTCGGGAGACCAGCTCTTGTAAACGATTTGCACGAGCTATCATTCCAACTGTTCTAACCGGTCAGACCTGCTCTTTTATTGTCTAGATTTTCAAGCGAGATTTAGATTTGGAATGCGGCAGTTATCAGTCGATTTACCTCGCACCTGGGCTACTTGCTTCTGTCATACTTCACAGGTTGACTGGGACCCGTGAAATCCAGATTCGCAAATCATCATCATCATCATTATACACATCAGCTAGAGGTGGAAAAAACACCTCCGCTATTGTGCCGCAATACATGAAGGAAATACATACATACATACATACATACATACAATACAATACACAAAGGAGAAGTAGCTACAACAGGTGCATGCCAGCTGAGCTACCAGCAACGGATAGGCATCGTTTCGGTAAGCTTCCAGCTAGCTACTAGGCAAAAAGAAAAAAATATGTTTTACCCTAGGAAATGAGATCGTAGATGGATGGGGAGGCTCAAAGGGATGGGGCGGGAAAAAGAAACTCACAGCATGAGCGCCACTGAGGTCGGCTCCTTGCCATGTCAGCAAGTGTATCCAGCCAAACGTGTTCACCGTAGATTCGCAAAGCACTAGTTGTTTGTCGAACTTGAAACTGAATTGAGAAAATCTATTTGCACCAGCTATTAGAGCACCGCCACCTACATCGGCGATCCACCGTGGTCGTGCTCCTCGTCATCAACGATGATTTGGTTCGATGGATCGGTGTGCCCTTTGGTACCGTTTGATTAGAAAAGAAGTGCTGGAGAAACACTTACACATCATCAAAGCGCTTTATGCGCTTCGTTTGGGTGGAATTAAGGGCTTATGACAAACTGTTACTACCCTTCGACATTCTCAACGGTGTAAGACAGTGATACCCCCTGTCACCTTTTCTCTTCAACTTCGCTTTCGACAAAGTCATGGAGATCGAACTCACTGCACACAACTTAGAATGTGTGGAGCTGCGTTCCTGATCACTTTCTTGACATGGAGTATATCGACGAAATTACCCTCATCTGTGAAAGCTCACAGAGATGCCCCGCAGCACTGGGCAGATTATCACTGACTGTCAACCGTTTCGGGCTTTAGCTTGCACTGCCAAAATGCATTGCTTCATTCCAAGCTTGACATGGACCGCCCCCTGCGCTGATCTTTATTGTGGAGCAACTAAAAGTCATTCAGGCATCCATGTACTTGTGCAATTGTACCAGTGCCAGTATAATGGAACACGAGTCACTAACTGTATAGCAAGAAATCGAGGTGCTTTTGTTTAACTTCGCCATTTTGGCGTGGCGCGACATGACTCTTCCTTTGAGTCGTTGAGTCTACAATGTAGTCGTACGATAAACCTAATTATACTAGTCTGAAACCTGGTTTATCAGATCACCGGGGCTTTCGCAGTTTGTCCTACGTCTGATGGGAACACAGCGTGAGTATTGAGCCTCTTCAGTATCTTTTATTTAATTTAGGAAGAGCGAGGGAACCCTTCAGCACTGTTATATCCCACACTAGACTCCGTTGGTCGGGCCACATGTTAAGCATACCAGCACACCGACTGTCGCGAAGCGTTGTTTGTGTGATCGGTATTTGGATGGAATATAAGGGAAGCCAAGCGATGATTTGATCAATAGGAATGAAGACACTCAATTCGAAATTGGTCTCGGCCTGAACCTCTCAAGTTGTGGTTCCAAGGATGATGGACACTTTTGTTTGGATATAGTTGTCGACATGGCAAACAGTCAACCTGAGTAGCATTTGTCTTGCGAATTTTTTGTCCAGATGAATCAAAACCAGAAATCGGTTCAGGGTTAGGAATTCTTTTCGGTAAACTCTCTTCAGACCCAAACGTTTACATAACACTGATTGTGTGGGATAAGCGTCAAATCGGACTGGGATTGATTTCTAAGGTGTTTAAACGGTCAAGATCGGTGAGTAAATGCGGCTACTGATGGCAAGAAAATGCATCAAAGGAAACTTAATATACAAGCTTCTGTATTAAGTTTCCTTTGGTACACTTTCTTGCCATCAGTAGCCGCATTTAGTCATCGATTTTGACCGTTTAAACATGTTAGAAATCAATCCCAGTCCGATTTGACGCTTATCGCACACAATCAGTGTTATGTAAACGTTTGGGTCTAAGGAGAGTTTACCGAAAAGAATTCTTAACCCTGAACTGATTTCTGGTCTTGATTCATCTGAATAAAATGGGGATATTTGCTTTGCTGAAAATCAGTATTGCCCATGATTCGTTGAAAATTTTTTGTCCCTCCATCTCCCGCTTATCCTTCTCCTCCAACCACGATCCCGCCACCGATACGTAATATAAAACCTAGCATTCTCTTGTTTGTGTTCTTACTTTTGCACAGTGGATGAAGTATTTACCAACTCCAGCCAACGTGTGTGATGTTTATCATCCTCCCATTCAAATGATCATGTCCCGTGATCGGTACTAAATCGCTCAAACACACTCGTTTCGTGAATACTTTTCGAATGGGGACTTACTGTTATGGATTATGCAAATTTTTGCGTTCATTTTTTTCACTACTACTAGTTATGCGCCTCATTTTCTAGATGGATTTGTTCTTGTCCCTGAGCTTCAGTTCACTGTTTTGTCGCTTATGGTAATCAGTATACTCATTGGTCAGCCTACATTATTAGTATTCAGTTAAAAGCTTGTTGTAGATAGAAGCACGCGTTTTACTTGCTACTTTGGTGTTGTAGCGGATGCCGTTTGATAAAGATCCGAAATCTTCTGAACCGCTGTGCTAAAGGACTAGAGCTGATGCTTCTGAATGAGAAACTTTCTCACCTCCGAATAGTTCTGATTCCGGACTCAGCTCGCACTGTTTTCCATAAGTTGCTTTAGATGAAGCGGTCTCTCCGATTATTTTCGATTTCTTGATTTTGAAGACGGTAGTACAAGTACTTTCTTTTTGCTCACTAGTACACCGCACTTGGGCATTGCGCTCTTCTAAATGCCTGTCAGTTTCTCTGCAGCTTATATTCATCATCATGTACTGGATTCCTCGGAAGCAACCACACCCACCGTAGCGCTTCATACACCCCCGGCTTTTTGAGTGCCATCCTCGCTGGATTTGACTACTAATTTTACATTAGGAATGCGTCGTTACCTTGGGGCCTGTTGGTCTGTAGAAAATTCGGCGACAAACCCAATTCGCGACTTTATTATCAGTGAAATGAAAGACGTCATCTCACTACGTTGCCCAACAGCTACAGTACTTTTGTGAAAATCGGGTTTAGTTTTCCTTTCCATCTGTTGTTTTATGCAAAAAATTCTTTCTTTGTGTGTTATGAAATCGCAGTTGAGTGTTAGAACTACCGTCAGTTGGCACTTCTCATTAATGGATATTGAGTTCGTTCAGCTTTGTGCGGTTTTCGGCCGTATATATTTACACATTTCTCGTTTTTGCGGAACCTCGTCCACTCTCGCAGAACATGCTGTCCACATCCTATGCGCTTCATGTTTTTCGCTTGTGCAGCCAAGGCAACCTCGGGATTCGATATTTTGGACTGCATACTCCAAGTCTTAATTAATGAGACCTATTGCTAGCCACATTATGCACTGTATACAACACATAATCACAGCTATCAAACTTTATTACTCCTTTCGACAGGTACGTTACGTACCATCCCAGTGGTTCAGGTGATGGGGCTGAACGAAGGCATTTGAACTTCGCTTCGATGAACTTTCTGGACTTCGTAGGCGATCCTGACCTATCAGAAACGGCCATCGCGCAATTAAAACGTTATGGCGTTGGATCTTGTGGACCCAGAGGGTTCTACGGCACCTTCGATGTTCACTTGGAGTTGGAGAAGAATATCGCTGACTTCCTTGGCGTGGAGAAAGCTGTCGTGTACTCTTTTGGTGCATCCACATTTTCAAGTGCGATTCCTTCGTATGCCAAACGTACAGACGTCATATTTGCTGACGATGGTATCAGTCACGCGGCTTACCAAGGTATTGTTGCCTCTCGGAGTCACGTGCGCTTCTTTCGTCATAACGACATGGACCATTTGGAGGAGCTATTGAAGGCCCAGCAAGAAGAGGACCGCAGCGATCCAAAGCGCGCCATGCTTACCCGGAGATTCTTGGTTGTAGAAGGATGCTACTTGAACTACGGGGATATCTGTCCGCTACCAGCATTGGTCGCCCTAAAGTACAAGTATAAAGTTAGGATCTTCTTGGATGAAACCATGTCATTCGGCGTACTCGGTGCAACAGGCCGCGGTGTAACGGAATATCATGGGGTTGACATCGATGACATAGATTTGATCTGTGGTAAGTAAATCACTACCACCATTTGCTTGGTTTTCCACCTCCCTCCTGAGATGTAATCTCGAAGCTGTCTACATTTCCAGAAGTGGTCCTGGTCTTCCCGGACTTATTGACTCTGCAATCATTTTCTGTACTTCTAATAGGGGATTTGTTGTTTGTCCTTACCTCATAGTTCACTGTCGACAACTGACTTGCTACTGATGGCCTATGGCTTTATCGCAGTCTGCTGGATATGGATTACGTCAACTTCATCATCATAATGTCTACCAATCACGATCTATTCTGGTCCACTCCGGACGACTCCCCTCCTTTGATGTTACCACCCATTGGTGCGCGCCTCTCACATTCAAAGGGAAATGTGCTATCGCAGGACAGCCAATAACTTTGTACTATATATATATATATATATATATATATATATATATATATATATATATATATATACAAGCCTCATGCTGAGTTTACACTTGCAGTTGAGCTGAACCAACCTACACTTCAACTGGGCCTTTTTAACCCTTTGTGTTCTACCGGTACTTATAAGTACCACTTTTTTAATTATAATATTGCTTAAGTGCATGCGTTATTCCTGCCGGTACTCGCGTGCATACGTACAATAATAGGCTTCTGTCAACAGTTAGATAAGGGCCAGAACTATGGTCCTTGGCTCTACAGTGTGTGGAGTTAACTCTTGTGCTTCATGTCGAGCGTCGTCGGAATTTGATTTCAGAGAACTGTGAGTGGTTGCTCTACTTGTTGTAATTTAGTTGGTTTTGTTGCAGCTTACCAGCCCTACTACTTTTTGTTCGTTTTTGTAGTGGACATGCATAATCCAACATATATGTTGGTACCAGAAAGTACCGCCAGGCCTCAAGCCTTTACTGGCCATAACGATGGGGTGGGGCGCAACATTTAGAGATTTTGACAATTTATTCTTATATTCTTGTAACGGAAAGTAATCCATGTAACAATCATTGATATCTTCCTTGTTACTATTACATATGTTGTGAATTGAGTATTTATTGAACTCTTTATTTTATACGTAGTAATGGTGTTGAGCCGATAAGAATGGTTGTTTTTGATTTTGAAGTGTATCAAGATAAATCAAAGGACACTCGTAATCCTAAAGACAGATTTGAATTGTAGGGAAGTGTTACACACACACTCACCCAAACTCTGAAAAGTGGTGGTTATGTTGTGGTAATTGATAATTACTGGCGAAAGCCTGCTGACTGATGATGAACTATCTCTACTGGATAATTTTTTCACATCTGTCGACTATTTGAGCATCTAAAATTTAACATTTTTGCCTGTGGAACTGTCCGTCCCAACAGGAAGCATCTACCTAAACTTCAAGAGGACAAGGAGAAAAATAGAGGTGCTCTTGATTATCTTTCATTAATTGGAAAGATATTTGATGTGTTTATTTGTTGTCCAATTACTATGGAAGTGAATCAATTACTGCGAGGCACAAAGTGTGAATTGGAACAACGGCCGATGTCGTGGCGTCGAAGATAGGACAAGACTACGATTCAGCCATCAGCGAAGTGGACAGAGCAGATATGCTGTGCTCACTATATGACTGTGATAGGAAATCAAAAAAGTGGCGACACAAACTGTTTTTCACAAGGATGGAAATGGCGTGTTAATGTATATGTTATGTGTAGTGACATGCATTATGACATCTCATTGCTGAAATTCCGAAGAAACTTGGCAGAGGGGCTTGTTGCTATGGAAAGTAGATTAGTGAAAAAGTGGCTGTCCTCCACTTAATACGATGTCATCACCAAACGAATTCAAGAGACGAGGGATAAGCAAATATCTACCTAAAGACGTCAGGACATAGAACCTTGGTGCACACTGGCATATATTCCCCTAGAACTAGAACGATATGAATGTGTCTTATTAGAAAAACCTAATCTATACCATTTCCCACTTATGTTCATGAATAGTTCAATTAGCTTCTTTTGATCACGAAGTGAAATCGTTTTTTACCCTATGAAGTTCGTGGCGTTGGCATCGGCCTTGATTGCGCGCATTCGTGTATGGCCTCATTGTTCGGTCGGCCTCAGTCAATTAGACATGGGAGGTGGGTGTTGAGAAAAATGTAGGCGTGTGGTTGGACGTTGTCACCCGCACGATGACGAGTGAGCATGTTAATGTCTGAAGACACCAACGGCTGGCTAGAATGCAAGCTGCGCCAATCTCACGGGAAACGATTATGACGTAAATGGCCGCTGATTAGGCGTTTGCCCGTGGTAACTATTGCGAAGGAAACAAAATTGGGTTGCGCATGGAATGTCTGCGGAGTGACCGCGAAGCCACATGTGAACCACTGCACATCACCAAGCTGAGTCACGCGATGACCGGTGCGCATCAACAATAAATCAGTGCATCCTTTATGTCTCGGCAGTGCGCGAGTCGGCTCATGCCTAGTTACAGATCGAAAGAGACACAGTTATGTTTTACAAACGGTATCTTCCAACATAGGTTTCTCGAGAATTCACTCCAACATGCGCTGACTAATGGAAGTAGTTGAGCATGCCAGGGAAAAGTGCTGAAAATGGGGTTCTTCATATTCATACAAGGGCATCTGTAGATCTTTCGTCACCTAGTAATCATAGTTGTTGTACTTTGGTTCTTCGCTCACTGGTAAGTACAAGCATCTTCCAACGCGCGCAGGCTTCGCTGGCTTGTGCATGTGCTCCGCATACCTCCCCAGTGGCTACCACGATGTGCCCTATTTGGGAGCGCAGGCGTGGGGTCGAAACGACGACAAGATCAGTGTATAACTTGTTGAGGCGCAAACGTTAAAGCTGGCTGTTGTTAGGCGTTCCCGACTTCCGTGTTGGGGACCAAAGGACCCCGATCACTCCTGGTTGCAAACGCTATAGTATATGGCCAAGGGCCGTACGCAATGGCGCACTTGCTGTGAGACTCTTCTACTCTAACAGGGCTTTTCCCTTTCAATCTATTCTTTTCCTTTTATGTGTCGTGACACTCAGCCGATTGCAATGACATTGGTAGTGTTGACTACATATATATATATATATATATATATATATATATATATATATATATATATCATGCGGAAGGCTAGAGACAATTCGTAAAGTATGAGAACTGCTTCCCAGCATATGAATGAAACACTGTGGAAGAGATATTTGTGGTTCACTACCTGCATTAGAACACAGTGCAAGATTGCGGTGTCCATAGTCAGTGTGAACTGGACCCATGACAATACAGTGTTCGATAAAAGGCACAAGATCAGAATGAAACAAGAGTTAGTCAACAGATGCGGTTGAAACACTGCTTCAAAACACTTGGTGGTTAGCATCAATTTTTAACAGGAAATCGGCATGGGGTACAATGGAGGAACCCAGAAACCTGACAAGGTTACAAATGGTGGAGCCACTAAGTGACAATGTTGCAAACCCATGAGCGAAAGACACGGTCTCCCTTTACAAGATGTATGCTAACTGCACGAGATGTAGGCCCTTGACCCAAATCCAACATGACTGTTGAAATAGCATGATAATGCAAAGTAACGGTACATGACATTGTATTCCCCGTTATAGGTAAAGATAGATGGGATTGCGCACTCGTCTTCAGCAAGTTGTGTCATCATTGTGAGTTCTACTTCCAAAGCCGTTAGTTTACATAAATACATTGCAGAGTATTCGTTCTTATAACCGAGAATAAGGAACTGAGTTCAGTGTCCCAAAGCGTTTCGAAAATGGATGTTGTAGGTGTATACACCTGACTGAATTTGGTAGGGTGTTTCAGGGCTACCTAACCCGGAGGGAGAAATAAGGTCGTGGACAGTCTAAAGGACTGTAATATTGACTTAAGTTTAAGCTGTTTGCTCTCAAGATAGTGTCCCGGTTGAGCTTCAAAACGTGTCGGCATATACATGAATTCGATTACTCAGTATTTGGTATACCATGATGTGGTCTCCCCGTAGCAATCCGGGTCTCTGCAGTCGTTCTGCTACGGAAGGTGGCGCAAGCCCTTGGCAATCTTCGTTGCCGTGTCTTTCGAGCGCAGCGATGTCGCGCTTTAACCAGAGTTACCAAGCCTGGATAGCGTATTCGACTTGGGACTTAGGTAGGCATTCAGCACCCGGGAGAAAATGGCTGAATCTAAACTGTCGAGTACCCTTCAACAGAGACTATCATACTGGTTGCCTCTTGTTAAATCACACTCTGACTGTCTGGAGCAATAACGAATGGTTAAAACGAGATGATAGGTTTCTTATACTCTGAATATCTGGGCATAACATGGTTTTCTACAGGTCTGGCTTAGGTGCGACTTTCCATTTGAACGCTCTTGAATACAAAGCAATGGCTGCTGATGTTGAAAAGTCCGTTGTGATTATATATTTCGATATGCGTAAACCATTTCATCGAGTTTCACACTTTAGATTGCGAAACATGTTACAATTCGTTAGCATCTTGTAGTTGGTTGTATGTGCCGACCTCCCCGAGCAACCCACCATGAAACCTAGCAGCCAATGGATGCTATCAACAGTTTCCAGCACTACCTACAAGTCCCAACTTATGTGCGAAGATTTCAACGCACCACAGATTAACTGGCTACTACCTGAACCTACGATCTAAACGGGACTAGACGAAATGGTGTGCTCTAACCACTTCAATGGTTGCATCACATATGTCAGAGGGCCCACCGAAAGTGCCAATACCCTAGATTTACTATTCACCATGAGGATCCATTCCACTTGTGCACTCATTAATAGTTCATTACCGGGCTGCGACCACAACACGGCGTTTTGTATCGTGAACATTGAACGAAATAAGCCACTCCACTACACAATTGCAACCCACTCATAACATTCACCGAATTGACTGAAATGCATTTAAGGAGCTTATCTGCACAATGAATTGGGAGCCATCATTCTGAACCGGTGAATTTACCAACGACGTTGCTGCGTGTACTGATGTACTGGTACCTAGGGTAAGGAGCCACACCTATAGGCAATGCGACAAACCTACAC